TTTAGCGATAAACACTTAATTTGATACATTTTTATACATGGGTTGATAGACCTGGGAAGGAGACATATGGCGGTAGACCTCACGCTATAGTAGCACCCTCAAAACATATGTAAGGGTTAAAATGTCAATAAAAACTAGTTAATGATGGAGAATAGTTATTTATATATGTATTCAAATTTGTATTTGTAACTGCTGTGATTTTATAAAATTATATTTATTGTGTTAGTTTATTTCTATAGTTGTTGTGTTAATTGAACTCATTATATTTTTTGTACATCTTCGGCGTGTAAACTTTTTTTTAGCTTCGCGGGATAAACTGTAAAAATAATGTATTATTTTATTTTTAATAAATTCAAAAATAAGCTATTTTGTAGTTATTCAGTTCAAAACAGCATATTAATATAATATGATCTATAACTGTATATTTAAGATATAATTTGTAGACATTAATCTCTTGCTTAACAAAAATAAATTAAAATAGATTTCTTTATGGTTTAAACAAGTTTTTAATTTGAAGTATAACTCTTACAGTTAAAGATAAACGTATGTATACGGTGGGCAAAAGTGATTATAAGTTGTTTAATTTAAAACATAAATTAATTTTTGACGTCTTACTCTGAAACAAACAATAAGTAAATCGCTTTCAGCTGTTTTCGTAATATTTTCGTCAATATCAACCGTACAGGATTAACTAAACCAATTGTATAGCACTAATTATATATTTTTCTCCATCCTGTATATTCAATTACTTGAAATAAAATTAGCAACAACGAAAATTAACATAACGAAAGTCGGTTACTATAAACTTTATAATACTGATCATTATACGCTACAAAATTTTGATAAGCAACGTAATTGTTAAACAAATGTAGCAACAGTGACGATATTGAAAATATACGGTAATTTAAAGAGAAGAAGAACTAAACGTGGCTAAGCTTGCAACAAACGTTAAGATTAAAGAAACGTTGTCAAGCTGCTACGAAGTTGAAATTTGTATGTTTGCTTATTTATTGAATTTCGCGCGAAGCTGTTCGTCGGCTATCTGAGATAGTCGTCGCCTAATTTAGATTATAGGAAAGAAAGAAATCAACATCACCCACCGCCAATTCTTTATCAAAGAAAAGTGTGATTAACCGTGACATTATAATCCCCCCATGGATTTAAAGGCTGAGCATGTTCGGTGATGGGATTCGATCCCGCGACCCACAGATTGCGAATGGATTATTTTAACCCCCAAGCCATGCCAAAACTTGCGACAAA